CTGAGGCCTCTCAGCTTCTCAGAAGGAAAAAATCCTAAGGAAAGGATTTTTAATGAAAATATGTCTGTGACAGGGGATCTTTGGCGATTTGTTCCTAAGGAAGGTGTGAAATGCAAACTTGAGGCATTTGAGAGCAGAGAACAGATGTTTTTTACTTCATCCCACATTCCTCCAGCAGCTGGCAGGTGCATTCCCTCTCCTGCTGGTTAAATCTATTTGAGGAGAAACCTGAACATTCCATTCAGGACATCCAGGAACATAAGTGCCCAGTCCTGGCTGCAGAGGTGACTCTGCTCAGGGCACAGTGACCTTTCAGCAAATAAAGTTCCCCCATCCCAAAGAAAAGCATCTTCCACCCCACAGTTCTGGGCACAGCTGCTCTGCTCCTCCCAGATAAAATCAGGAGAAGCTCATGTAAATCTGCATGGGGAAAGACCTGAGGGGAGGGAGCAGAAATTACAGAGCCAGGATCTTCTCTGAGGTGCCCATGCCAGGGCAGGAGGCAATGGCCACAAAAACCTGGAAATGCCACTTAAAATAAGAAAAAAGTTTATTTTGAGGTTGGTTGGGCACTAGAACAAATTTTCCAGAGATGTGGTGGCATCCCTGTCCTTGGAGATGCTCAGCATCCAACTGGGCACAGCCCTGGGGAACCTCCTGTGCTGCCCCTGGGGTGGGACCATCCCAGGGGTCCCTGCAATTCAGTCCCAAACCACATTCCTGAACGAGAGGCAGCCTGCTCAGCACAGGGATGTATTTTCAAAGGGTTAAACAAATTCCTGATCACAAAATAACAGTTTAGTTGCTCTCAAACGAAATGTTCGCTAGCAGCATTCTCTGATTTATCCTGAAGAGCAAAGCATCAGGTTTTTTTACAGCTATGGGATTTTCAATTATTGGTCATTTTTTATCATCAGTGATAGATGCCTGCATAGAAAAAAAAATTCGTTTGAAGGATTGTGTGTGTTGCTGTTGGAGAAAGGTACGATAATGCTCAATAAATTAGACTTCACAATGCTGAGATTTATTGGACATGAAAGAAATCGAAATAAACCCACTGATGCTTTTCTTGTCTATTTAAAACCTGGTAAAAATGGACCTTTGGGAAGGAGGAAGATGTTTCCAGAGGAAAGAGGTTTAATCCTTTTTGCTGGGGACTCCCAGGGTGTCCCTGTGCCCAGCAGCTCCTCGTGTCCACACAAAAAACCCAAATTTTGGAGGGTCTGGTCTGAGAAACCTGGCAAGGAATATTTATTTGGCCAACTTCTTACTTGGAAATTGCAGCTCTGCTTCTGTCTGTCGCAGGAAAAGCACCCGAATGGTGTCCTGCAGATAAATCCCTGTGCATCTGTGATCGAGCTTGGCACATGTTGAAAGGAAAGCAGCGGGTTTGCCTTTTCACTGGAGTTTCAAAGCAGGGCAACATTCTGAGCCCTCCCTGGGAAATTTTAGCTTTTAACCAGATCTGAGGGTTAAAATGGTTGTTTTAAAAGGTCCTGAAGTTAAGCACTTGCTACTGGTGGTGTTTAATCATCTCAAGTGAGACTTGCACCAAAATTAAGTGAAAGAGAGAAATGGAAAATTACAGACTCAGCTTTTCTCAGAGTGATTCTTCTCAATTACTGTTGCCAATTATCTTGCCTGGAGTCTTTAAATAAAAGCAGAATCCAGTGGTGCTGGACATTGTACAAGACTGAGATGCTCTCTTGTCTTACAGAATTTTCAGGCTAAACGTTTAAAAAACAAATTGGAAAAATGAAATGTGGGCCTAGAGTAGGAAAGAAAGGTCATTAAAGACCCTGCTTGACAAACAAAAGGTGTGAATAAATTAAATTCATTACTCCTGAAGTGGCACAGGAAGTTGTGGCAGTGCTGAGAAAGGAGCCCAGAGTTTCTAAATGTCAAATGATGACATCTTGAACGTCACAAAATAAACCCTCAGTGAGCAACTCCTGTGTCTCACACAGGAGCAAGAAAATGCAGCAAATGGCTCACAAAAAACAGTCTAAACTGTTTATTACAGAGATGGGAGCAACAGGATTATTCAAAAAATCCTTTTGCTTATTAATTTGGGAAAATCATCTGAGAAATTAGTTTCAGAAGTGATGATATATTAATAATTCTATAAATAATAATGCATTTGGCTCTGAGTGCATTGGTGGGAAGTGTCCTCAGGATGTCTCCTTTAATTCTGGAGTGTTTTACAAAGCCAGTGCTGGTTTCAGGGCTCTTTTATAGCGTTTAATTAATATCCTACCTGTGTTCCTGAGTGCCAGAATTAAGTCCCTGCCTGTGATTAGATGTGGAGAACAAAAAACTGATGCAGGAACTTGGAGCACTGTTGGATCATAAAGCCCATCCCGTTTTCAGTGTGGGATTGTGCTTCATTCACAGGAAGCCAAAGCATCTCCTTGTTCCCCAGGCTGCAGAGAGGCTGCAGGGCTTTGGGGTCAGCTCAGTGGATATCTGAGAGTTTGTCACAAACCACAGGAGTGTGCCCTGGGGGCAGGAAGAGATAATTCTTTGTGCCCTGGGGGCAGGAAAAGATAATTCTTTGTGGCCTGAGGGCAGGAAAAGCTGATTCTTTGTGCCCTGGAGCAAACAAATCTTGCCTTGTGTTGCTTGGTTCAGGACCTGGCTGTGTCAGTGTCTCCCACCTTTATAGAATTTAAATAAATAACCCAGTTTATGCAATAATTATGAATAGGAAGCATAAAAGTGTCAGCCGTTCTGGAAATATTAACGTTTCTGATGAATTAGATGGGTTCTGTGTTTGTGAGAACTTTCCTGCCTGAGAAAAGGATGGTCCTGACACAGAAAAAGGAAATATTTTATATTCCTCTTGCAGGAGCTTCCTAGGGGTGCTGTCCCAGTAAGATGTGCATGGTGGGGTTACTGGTTTCTCGGGTTTTTAGCTGAACACACATTTTTAAACAAATCAAGTATTTTTGAGCACTTAAAGTAGTGCTTCAGTGTCTTTTTACCCCATCCAAACTTGACTAGTTCATAAAGTCCAATCATTTAGGAATTGCAAGCGAGAAACAACCCTGGAATTTTGTAACGTTCAAATGAGCCTGGTTTTGGTTTTTCCTGAGGGAATTCTGATGTGGTTTGTGTTGGTTTTGCTTTCAGCCATCGGGCCAGACTTCTCCAAGACGCTGCTGAAGAAGCTGACCCTGGTGAAAGTGGGGGGTGAAGTCATCATTGAGTGCAAGCCCAAAGCCTCCCCCAGACCTACTTATTCTTGGAAGAAAGGAAAAGACATCCTGAGAGAAAATGAGAGGTAATGTCTTAAAGTAACCATTTCTTTCTTTAACTAACCCAGGGACTTGCAGCAATCAGAGCTAAATTTGTCATTAATAGCTTTGCAAAATTGACTTGCAAATACATGAGGAAACAGCCTGTGTGCGATCCCAAGGAGCTGGGGGTGAGATTCCCATTCCCATGGTGCCCATCCCATCTCTGTCTGCTATTAAATCATCCCTGCCAAGAAGCTGATAAAAATGCACTCCAAAAAACCCAAATATTTTGCCTCTAAATAACTATTGTTAAAAAAAAAAAAGAGTAGATTCCCAGATGCTCTGCTCTGACACTCACTGGGCTGTGTCTCCAGGGCTGCTGAATCCTCACCACTTTTACAGAAAGTGTAAAAGTTATTCACCTGCAGCCTGGACCTGGAGACTGTGTGAAAGGCACAGTTAGGGAGTGACATTGTCATTGTTGTCATTGTTGTCATTGTTGTCATTGTTGTCATTGTTGTCTGC